CGGGCCCGCCCCGCTGCGCCGCTGATGGCTGGGGACGTCTCACTTCATCTGTCACCAGTTCTGCTCGCCTGCCCAGCTGTCAAAACAGGGGGTGTCTTTTTCATTCCAGCTCACAAAGTACCAAAGGGGAAAGGGGCTTTAATGCCTGTGTTTGGACACAAGCAATTATCCCTAATTATTGTTTTTCTTTTGAGCCTGCCCGTCCTGCTGGAGAGCCAGCAGATGAGCATGCCCTAATCCTCGCCAGTCGGTTGATCTCAGTGGGTTTTGCAGGACAAACCGGGCGAGAAGGCTTCGTGGCTTTCATCTCGATGTGAGTTTTGAACTGATTGAAACTCGTTGCGATGGGAGAATTAACCTCGGAGCCCAGGCTTTCAATGGCCTCTGATAAGAGATTATACGTGTTGATGGCAAGCTTTTCTTGGCAAAATGTTTTCAAAGGACTTGGAGCTGTTAAATCAAAGCACTATTGAATTGGTGGTAGGCCCCTTTAGAGCTCTCCCTCCTCCTCATTCCCTAGTAATATCTGTTGGTAATTACTGGCAGGAGTGGGAGAAGGGAAACAAAAAATCCCCCCTGAGCTACACACTCACGCACACATGGGTGATAAGCAATATTGGCTGGAGAACTACGGGGAAGCCAGAAGAAAATTTTCTTAATCCCACAGAGGATAATTATATAAACACTCATGATGCTTCATGATAAATCCTGTTCTAGTGATAAATCATCTCATGATAAATCTCTGTTTCTTGCTTTTGCAGGGTTGCATAGCAATCCAAGGACCCAGACTTCAATGTTCTTTCTTCAGTAATTCACCCTTACTGAAAGAGAAAAGAAAAGAGAAAAGAAGAGAAGAGAAGAGGAAAGGAAAGGAGAAGAGAAAAGAGAAGAGATGAGAAGAGAAAGGAAGGAGGTCTCACAGAAGAGTGACAGGCTATGTGAATCCAGCCGTGGATGTGTGTTCATGTGCATAAGAAAAGACAGGTAATATTTAAGAAATTTTGATGAGATTTCTTTAAACAGGAGCCAGTTAATCCTTGAGTTTGTTTCTTTTCCCTCTGTCCAAAGTTTGTGTCCTGGACTCTGGAATGACTCATGTCACTAAAGAGTCATCATAATTATTACATTTGAATCACATTTGGTCATGTGCTTTCTCTTCCACTGTCTCAGAATGGGAACTTTGGAAAAGCCTGTATGCGTAACTTAACTTTATATGTCCCCCAGCTCTTGAGCCTGGGATGCACCAGTCCATCCTGGATTTTACAAATGAGCGTGCATTTGTTCAGAGACAGTTTCAGGACAATGTACATGGATCTGATTTTGATTATGGAAGGCTAGTTTAGATTATAGCAGGAAGTAGAAGAGGAAATAAATGTTTTCTATTAGAAAGATAATTTACTTCAAGAGAAATGCTTACAAGAGTGTGTCATCCATTGCAGGAAGCTGCCAAACAGGGAAAAGAAAAGCATTTAGCTCTGTTTTGAATTCTGTGTTGCTATCTGTTGGCAGGTGTTTGTATGGGCCAAGGCTTGTTTATACAGAAGTCATATAACACTTTGTGACATTCTTATTAAAATGACATTCAGGTTTCATGTTGAGAGAAATAAAACATTGACATCAAACCTGGAAACATGTGGATAGAAGAAGTTTGTTAGAGCTGCCCGTAGTCAAAGATCACCCTCTCCAATATGGTACCCTGCAGTGGTAAGGAAGAGACAGCGGAAGCAAGGGCAGTATGGTGACAGGCAAACGGCAGCAGGGCAGAGGCAGTGGAAGCTGGCAGCAGGCTGTGTGTGAGCAGAGGGAACCTGCAGTTTGAGGACGGCTCTTCCGCCGTGAACAGCACTGAATGCATGGGTCTCCCTTCCTAGCCCCAGTATGTTCACTTTGATGCCTTGATAGAAAAACACCTGGAAAATGTCTTAGAGAGAACAGAGCAGCCTGACCAGGAGCTGGATTGCTGTAAGCCTGGACAATGAACTATGGACGCAATATAGCCAGCTGTCTCAGCAGGCACGCCCAGCTGCAGGAGGAGGACTGGGTTCAGGAATCTGGCAAATGTATACTGAGGGCTGGTAGTCTTGCTACTTTGATTGTTAGTTTTTCAATTTGATATTTTATTATGTTTACTTTTTCTGTCTAGTAATGCTCCATGCTTTTGAAGTCCTTTGTTTAAACTCTTTACCTACGAGGAAAAATTATTCATCTTAGAGCACTTTGCTGGTGTGCCTTGGGTTCCCAGCTCTTGATCCAAGCCTGAACGGATGTCATTTATATTTGTAACAGAAATCTCCAAGACCTTGAACTCCACCCTTTTTAATGCCTGCAAGTGTTTGCCAGCAGGCTAACATGTAATCATTTTTTCAATTCAAAAGATTGAGCTATAATGATTAAAATACTGTGATTAAACTGAAAGTTTTGGGGGATTCAGTTGCTACAAAACCATTCAACTTGTATTGTATTATGGAGGTTTCCTGCCAGCAGATGATTTAGTGGGAAGTTTGTTAGTAATTGGGAAATACATTTTGAAAGTTGAAAATTGGTAAGGGTTTCTGTTTGTTTTCGTTAAACAGTATCTCAGCAGCAACAGAAATTCCAAAGTGCACATTTTGGCTTATTCAGTTCTTACTGTTGACTGGGTCTTTGAATACTGTGGAGAAGCTGGGAAGAGTAATTATAGCTTTACTTGTCCTAATTGTTTTGAATGTTGGAGTGTTCTGCAAGGGAGCCTAGAGAATTCACAAGCTGTGCAGGGTCTCCATAGAGTTTATACATTGTACAGGATCTTTTCTTCCTTGGTGAAGTACCTGAATTGTCAGTAAACTGCTGCAAAGCTTGTCAGGAAAGTATGTTTGCAGAGTATATACTCTCCATAGAAGCGAACAGTTGCAATAATGGAAAAAATTTGGATTTTATAGCTTACATAGGATGAAAGAAACCAACAGTTGGAGTGTATAGAGTAGAGTGGCTTTATATATATTTGGCAAGTCTAAAGAGTTGTCTGGGGCCAAGGCTGTTTCATTAATCATTGCTACTTCAGTAATATGTACAAGCCCCAAACAGTTAGAATGTTTACCACATAAAATAGCATGGGTCCAATTTATAAAATTAAAAAGATGGTTTCAGCCCCAAAGACCTTTAAATCTATATATTCAGTGAGAAGCAACCATTAGACGCAACAAACATATGCTGGAAATGTGCTCTAACAGCAATACCTGTATCAGTCCAGAGACAGCTGCAGCACACAGCTGCAGCTATGGTCAGCATAACACAAACTAGCACCCAAGGCTAGGTCTCTTCCACCGAAGGAGAGAGACCCACAGCATCTAATATGCTGATGGACCTTATGAGGTTCTTGTGATCAGAAAGGTACTCTGGCTCAGTGGCTTCTGTGGGCTCGATATATGCAAGAGTTTTGGCTCTAGCAGTCTCTGGCCAAAAGTTATGACATAAAAATAAATGACTTATTCATATGCCCTCGTTTATGCATCTCCATCCCATTTGCTCCAGTGCTTCCAGCATTTTACCTCTCACTCTCCAGATTCAGCAAAAGAGTCTTTGTTCCCTAGAGCAAGGAGGCCACATCTGTATTTCCTATCCAGACATTTCAGAGAGAAGCAGCACATATCACAGAATCACCACTGGCTGCAGAATCTGATTAACCAAACCACAAAGAGTTCCAACATGTGTCTGTCTGTCCAAATCTTAAGAAACAGAAACTGACATCACTGTAACTATTTTCTCTTCTCATGCAGATTGGCTATCTGATCACATGCACATAGCTATATAGTCCAGGCCCTGCCGTTGCATTATTCTTTGTCATAGGTCAACAAATGCTTTATTCTTCAAAGCGATAACTAGACCATGTAGAATTTGACTTTGGTTGTTGCTCATTAGGAACAAAGGGGATCTAGTATGTGAAAGCATTCTGTGGGCCAAATCCCACAGTCCTTATTTTTCTATATACTACTTGTGAATATTCGTATTGGTTCCTGTAATTGTTTTCAATATTTATTATGATCAAAGAATAAAAAACAGTGGGAATATCATATGTGTTTTGTCAAGTACTAAATATATGGTGTTGTAGAGACAGTTTCATTTGTATCTGGAATCTAATTGCGAAACATTCAATCTTTTTTAGTTATAAGTGAATTATGTTTTCCAAGTCACATCTGTTTTTTAATAAGAAGGTTATTTTTTGAAGTAAAAGGTAAGTTTTTGGAATGTTATCACTTGTTTAACAAAAGTTTTGCCAGGGAAGATACTAATGTTTGAGCATAGGTTGATACTGCTTGTAGTCAGATTAAAAAATAAAATCAGCTCATGGAAATCTGCAATCGCTTAAGAAAGGACTTCTATAGCAGTCCGTTTTTTTCTGGCTTAAGAGACCCAAAAGCAAAAAGACTTCAGCCTGTAGCAGGTGTCACAAGCCATAGAGGAGAAATTACAAAAATCGATAACATGCCAATACTACAAGGAAAATAAATGTTCGCCAGTAGAGTTTAATGATGTTAAAAAAATACAGGCAAAAGCAAATTCAGATACACAACTGGCAAGGGGCTCAGACATTATCACTCAGGGGCTACGAGATCCTTTGCTGATATTTTGTTGGGCACTGAGTTTATTCTGGCATACTGCCCATGGGACATCTTGCTAATATGCAGAATAATGTGTGCAGAATCAGATATGCTTTGCAGAGGCAGAAGCTTCGATTAACTCATTTTTACTATTCTACTTCCCAAATCCTTTTCAGAAGAGAATCTTAGTACAGAATCTTTTCCTTAGTGTCTCTTACACATAGCTCAATTAAACCCATTAAATTAGTTCTATTATTATTTTTATCAATTGTTTCCCTAATTATTCTCTTGTTGCTCTGTTTTAAGTAATACTTATTTTCAACTGCCTCTAGATACACAGTCCTTAAAAATAAAATATCTTCCTCCAGGCACAGCCTAAAGAATGCACATTTCCCATCTCAAAGTTACAGATCTTCCCCAAAGCCTGCTTTTACCCCGAATGCGATACTTGCATAGGCTGATCCCCCAGGTGCTCCTATACATACAACTGCAGAACTCGTATTAATTCATGATCTTCCTTTCAGCTCGAAACACGCTGTCTCTACTGGCCATACACAGGCAGACGGACACAAACGGGGGCACAAGCCCTTTAAAGGCATCTTATTTGTTGGCTGATGCTATGAAAGTTTTGTCACCAGGAGGGTCTTTACCTTCTTAAAAAGAGACACATTCTAATCTATGCAGTATTTGCCAGCAATATCAGCCTTTTCCTTTTAAAAAAGCTGTGAGGATGACAAACACGTTTAATCTAAAATCACCAGGACTGTAGGAGACATTTTTCTTTTTGTTTTTTTTGAATGGGCTTAATATTTATTGAAATGCTCATCTGAATTCTCACATTTAATTTCCACCATTACTTTTTGTTTTGGCAGTATGCCTTTCTCTCCCCCAGCATGACAGCTTCAAAATACACCCGTACACTTTTTCCGTGCAATCTGTGAGAGCGGAATGGAGTGCCTTGCTTGGGTACACACCAGCTAGCGCTGACTAAGTGGTCGACTGGACACCTGAATGAGAGCAGGTGAGGGCAGATTTTGTTAGCTTGTGCAGCTAGCTGGGTATAGGCAAAGAAATAATTTCATTGTTATATGCAATTATGCTGGTACAGCTTTGAAATCACGATGATGTCTGCACCACGTCCTCCATATCCACAAAAATAAGAACTTAGATGGAAACAGGGGAAGAAGTGACAGATGTCAGAGTTTCTCAGGTTATAACATAGCCTAAAAAGACACTGAGAGACCCCTTGGAAACAGATGCCTTTCTAGCAGAGCGACCAATCTGTGGACTCACAAGCTGTATGCAGGCTGCAAGAAAGTAGCGCAGCTCCCATGCCTCTTGGTCAGTGACTAGCTAAGGAAGTGGCTGGCCTTCCCAAATCTCCTGTGATGTGCAGGACAGCAAGGGCTGAAGAGGCTAATAGCACCAGGTCATCCTGTGATGCACCTTCATATACAGCCTAGCCATGCCTTCCAGTGGGGCAGTGGGCCCTCAGCAATCTTTGCCATACTTCAAGTGCTCTCTGTTTTCCCCTCCTCTGAAGCACCGAAGTAAGTGGTATATGTGTGGTAGTTCTTGGTTCCCTAAAGATTCTGGTATACAACTTGTAGGATGGGGGATGCTACTCACTGCAGCCTAAAGGTTAGCGCATAGGGCTGGGAGGCCTGTTACAGGCCATAATGTGAGCTTTGGCTTTCATAAGCAAACCTCCAATCCATACTCCCTGCAGAAAAGCAAGGGATAGAGTCCTCCTGCGCCTGCTAATTTAACCTGAGGATAATTTACTCTGGATCTGAAATAGTCCCATCAATTTAATTTGTGGCATACCGTTGAAATATGACTGAAAGCAGCACAAAGAAAAAGGATTCTCTGGGCTACTTGGTAGCACCAGCCCAGAATCTACTCCAGCTTCTAGCTGTGGCCAACCTTTGAAACAAACGGAAAAAAAAAGCCTCACAAACAAAATATATATTCTGTAGAATGCATTAGGGGGAAATACCTTCTTTTTCCTCTGTAGGCTCCTAGCTGAAGCCATAAAGCATGATATGTTTGTCTTCAGTTGAGTTTGGACAAATCTTTTCAATGAATTAGGCATTTTGAGCACTTTCACTCGATACAGTAAAGAGTGATATGAGAACAAAGCCATAGTTAATAGAAAAAAGAAATCCTTGTGTGCTTGAATTTTAACTAAGATGCCTATCTGTCATGTTTGTGTGTCATGTTTAATTTATCTCAAGATGAGAGAACACTTACCCTATTCTAATAGTCTGTAATCCAGAAAGAAATGCCCTAGTGCACTGATAATGGTAGTTTCAAGATTGCAAAACGAGTGCCAGTTGACCTAAAGGATCTAGAAGGCAAAACTTTTCCTGGTAGATGGTAGGAAATGATTCACAATGATTCTATTTAAATCTTCAGCCCTTGTCTTCAGTGTCCAACAAATGTTTTTGTAGAAGCATGTCAAAGAAACCCCAAGATATAGCTCACTGAATGAATAATCACAACAAATAATTCATATGATTAACTTTGTTCTTTTATCTCCATTCTATTAGAACTATTTTAGCAGATGTCAGCATTTTAAATGCAATTGATGTTAGAAATGGTTGAGCACGTCTTCAGAAATAATTGCTGAACTTCAAGTCATTTATGGTCAGCTGCAGTGATGATGTGCTGTATATTAGAACTGAGAAAGCAGACTGTTGCAGGCATTTTCAGCTTACAGATGTTGCTGTGTTAGTTGTTGGTGTTGTAAAGAAAAGGATTCAAAGCTATTGAAAACAGCTGTTTCTCCTGTTAGTGCACTGGATACTTAACTTCTTGCTCTATATATGAAAATATCAGTGTCCAAATTTACCATTACTGCATAAATTGAAGACACTTTGATCTAAAGATAAAATAGGATGGTTCAATCTGTGTTAAGTAGCAGCTGCCCTAATGTATTTAAAAATACAGTAAAATAGAATATTTTGATTATTATTCTATAAAAATATGACAAGCATGAAATAAAGCAAAACAAAGAAAAATAAAGCAAAAAAAAGAAGCAAAGCAAAATAAACCAAAATAAAGAAAATGTTAGAAGAACAGTCATAACAGAATTCTGAATCAATAAAATATTTTGAAATTTCAAGTGTATTTTTAAAACCATCATTGTTATGTAAATATTTTTACATATCTGATTTTCAGGGCATTTAAAGTATTTTTTTTATAATTCTATGGAAACAAAATTCAAAGCCTCGCTACAACATGTAAAATAAAAATTCTGAGTGCCAGATAGCTTTTAATGTTGCCTGGACCATGGTCTTTTTCCTTTGAAAAAGTACCAAAATTTAAGACTCAAGATACAGAAATCATGCAAACTTTTGAAATTCATCCATGAAATGACAAGGGATCCTCTAAAAAATGGTAATGCAACTGGAACAAAGGGAGGAGCAGAAAGCACAGAAAAGAGAGAGGAGGAAGGTGACACCTATACCTCTATTTAGAGGAAACGGTGTGCACCATTTATTTGAGAATTAAGGAAACATTTCACACATCGATATGTTATTGGCAGAACTTTAGATCCATCTCACAACAATCAGTGGCCACTGTGATTCTGTTCAGGGAATGACCACAAAAGGCCTGTGTGCAAATATGGTTGTTTGACATACTACCTAAACCCATTTATCACAGACTCATCTCCCAGATGCCCTCAATGCTGTGTCCAGCCAGCAAAAGCGATTGCCCACCTCCCCTGGGTCAAAAAAAGGCCCATTAGACGCATTGCTCTCCTACCCATCTGTTTAAACTGTTATCTGGGGCAGCTAATTATATTTTTCACTCTCACTCCCAGAATCAAATGTATCTCTGAGTCTCCATATGATTGATTACATTAACTGGAAATATTTATAGGAAACATAGACAGTGAATTTTACTTCACCGTGAAGACAGAAACAGTAGTCTTTAGACTTTTTTTTTTTAAACTTTGTAAAATTGTGCTCAACAAGGAGAGCAAATGGAGAGCATTCTACTGTGAGCAATCTACTGTAGGTAAAAAGTCTCTCTAAGTGTGGCATACAATAAATGTCACCCGAGAAAATTATACTTATCATTTTTATACCTTGCCACTGGTAAGGTGTCTAAATATATCAAATGTACTGTTAACTTTTGATGATCCTTTTAGTACATATTGCCATGGTTCTTGCGATAACTCAGAAAGACAGCGATTACACTGGACAGGGAAAGAGACAAACACTCCTCCAGACTGTGACCTTGCTAGGCTCAACTCTAATGGCATTCAGTGCAGGGCAGTGCGTGACTGGGAAAAGTTCCCAGCGAAGAGTTACTGGGTTGCAGTAAGCAGTTGGCGAGTTAGAGATTCAGCAGGCAGCACTCCTCTCTTGGCATCAGAAGTGAACCAATACTGCTGTACTGTCCTGAGAGGCAACCTGCTACAAAGGTGCCTAGATAACCAAGTCCCACCAAAAGTTAATTGCCTAAAAGTCTTGGGGAAGATGGGCTTGCAGTGTTGAGAGATGCTGTCTTTGGGGTAAAACACAGCAAGAGGCCTATGATCGTTCACTCTCGTTGAAGTTGGGAGATGGTTTTTAAAAGATGGAAATAGTTCTCTGAAAGGCTTGGTTGCAGTGGGGTTGAGTTCTTGTCTGCTCTTCTGCCTTTCTGGTCTCCTTCTCCTGTTTCAGCTGGGTATAGCACACTTAACACCCCTTCTGCCCCAAACTTTTCTGAGCTGCTCTGACTCACTTCCTTTCACTCAATAGCGTATGTGGTGTTGGTCAAAATGATTGTGTACAGTCAATATCCTACTATTTGTGCTTTAAAGTTCAAAAAGGCAAGCTATGTTTGTATATGTTGCATTCATAATTATGGTCAGAAAGTCTAACTTAGGCCTAAATTCACGAGAATGTAGGTAAACATCATCTAGTCAATTACTTTTATTCCCAGTGTACTTCCTGTATGATGGACGTTTATGAGAGTTGCTCATGACCTGCTTATTGGAGTCTGTTCCATCAGCTCCTTCACATAGGGTTGTTTCCTGCTTTTCTTCCTCGTTTAGCAGTGTATTGCTGCAGCAAACAGCAGCAGCAGGAAGCTCTCTGCTCTGCATGAGGAAAGTGTTCCTGAAATGTCATGCTTTCCTTAGAGTGGGTCACCAGTAGTAACTTGCTGATAGGAAGTGTGTGCTGGGGAAGCAATTTTAGAGGATTATAGTGACCACAAATGAGCAGACAAGAGTACTGGTAAAGCTACATCTCTGACAATGAGCTGTTGGATGCAATTTAAACCACTAACAGGCACTTTTAACAATATTGTATATTTTAACCTTCATGACCAAAACAGCCTCTGTCAGCAGAAAATAGTTTGCTGGCATAGCTGACTCTACGTTAGGAATAATTAGCCTTAGTCCTCCAAACATTGCTTACATACTTTCCAAAAGGTAAGCTTTAAAAGACAACAAATCCTTAACATAGTTTCATCCAGCAGAGGCTCATACACACATAGTATGTTTTCCTCAGTGGGTGCTATCTATACACAGTCCAGTTTGTATGTGCAGAGAATGGTACTATTTGCACGAAATATATTGGTCAGCTCTTTTACTGCTATCCTTGGCCAAAGGAATGTAAGTGGGGGGATGTAGCATGGGTTTTCTGGGTTTTCTGGGTTTTTGTTTTTTTTGGGAAGGGGTTGTTCTTTTTCAGTAGGGACAATCTCAGCTTTATTTAGGGACAATCTCAGCTTTATGGAAAAGCCAAACTGGAGATAATAAGGAACCAGAAATTCTCCGAAGATATTGCTGTTGAACTTAAACTAGAATAGTTTTTTTCAGATAAATATCCTCCCATTCTCTGCCAGATGTTCTTAGATTGGATTTACAAAGCTGTTTACTTTTTTTCTATTGTGATTTCCACAGTTTTGTTGATGGTTCTTTTCTGCACGATCTGATGGAGTTTTGATAGAAATTAATAGAACTGAAGACAATTTTGTTTAGGAAGCAAATGTTATATACCTCTATGTAGACTCTAC